CGCCTTTGAAATGAGATGAGCACTGCCCCTTAGAGTCGGGAACGACTAGCACATATCTGCGAGGGGAACCTTTGCCTTTACCTAGAATTCAATAAACTTCAAGGGAGGCTGAAGGTAGGACCCTCACCACCCTCCAGGCCTTCCGCAAAGCCCTTAAAACCTGGCTGTTCCGACAGGCCTGGGGCTAAAGAGCTGTTGCCCCCGTCTCGAATGGTATGACTGTTGTGTGTTTTTAAATTATGTATTGTTATGCCTTGTTGTTTTTTAAATTTTTGTCTGTATTCCCCTTCCCTGGTTTGAGTTGTGAGCCGCCCTGAGTCCCCTTCGGGGGGAAAGGGCGGCATATAAATGTAATAAATTGAATTGAATTGAATTGAATTGAATCCAGCATTCAAGTGCAAATTGACTATGTTGGCCCAAATTGATATATTAAAAGATAGAAAAAAATGTTTTGACACTATACCCTACAGCCTTCTTCTTTCACCATATTTGTTTATATGAATTCACTTTATAAAATGTTTAGGAGAACAAAATCCTAGCGTAAAACTAGGGAAACCTGTGCTGATAATCGCACTGGGCAAAATTAACTCATAAAATGATAGCTGGCTGCTACTAATCTTTGACACCCATAAATATATATTCTCAAGTTCTATTGCTAAGCAGAGCAATATCTAATCAGAAGGCAAGTGCTCTATCTCATACCATCCTCTTTGCAAATAGCTTTTTATGTGCTCTGAAATCAAGAGTGGTTAGATAATGTATAAATAATGGAATTTCAATTTATTTGGAATTTTATTTTTAAAAAGTGCTTTAGTCTCATGTTTGGAAAATATTCAATATAATAATATAATATAATAAAATATATAATATAATAAATAAATATAATAAAAATACATGACTGTTTATAGGAGCGTGATCGCTATGCATACAAGATTCATCTTCCAGAAACTGTGGAACAGCTGAGAAAATTCAATGCAAGAAGAAAATTGAAGGTAAAAGAAAAATAGTGCACCAATGTTAAATTTATGATACTAAACAGGTTTGTAGCAATAATGCATAATGCAAATTCACTCGCTGTGTTAGGATTCAATTTAGGATTCAATTTGGAACAGATACTTCAGTGTATTCAAGAATATGAACATAGGAACTCTCTGCTGTTTATTGAAGAAGCTACATCTGTTTCCACGATCACAGTAAAATCATGTGCATTCCTGGAAATGGACCCAATTGATTTAATGAGTCTGAGATGCTGCGTTTATGTTCCCATGTATTCCTCAATACTGCTTCCAAATCAAATATGAACATTAATTGCATAGTCCTATTATTTATGTGAAATATGTGATATATTTTTTTAATCAAAAGTTGGCAGAGATATTTGTGACTGATGTATACATTTCAGTAAATTGTTTTGTGGTCTCAGAAGTCATGGATTTTTTACATACACATCTCTCCTTTAATATAGAACTATATTCTTATATCCCATTCTCTATGGAGATTCTCCTTTGAAAGTATTCTCAGTTCTTTATCAAATTTGTGGTCATTTATATAAGGGGTGTCAAGGCCCATGGGCCATATCTAGTCTGCAATGTGGTTAGATCTGGCCCACAGAGCCATCTTGGAAACAGCAAAGGACCATGCAGTGGTGCCTCAGCCCAGCCCAAGCCATCTGGGTGCTGATCTACAACCCTGTGGCAGCCATCTGGGCCAGAAAGTGGTCAGCCTTAGATCCGCGGAGCCACCCTGGAGCCAGCAAGGGACCACCTCCATCCCACCCCCTGGGTGCCTGGACTGCCTCTCAAACACCCAGGATGCCAGCCATGCTTGCTGCTTCCTATGCAGACACCCAGTTCCTCCTCGCTCAGTTGAAGGTTTCGTTCCTGCCTTCAAACAGTAAGGCCACCATGGAATCTGAATCGGCTGGATGCAGGAACCATCTCTGTCCATGGACTGGGTGCGCTGCTCACTTGCATACACCAACCTTACTGTTTGAGAGTAGGAATAAAGCCTTCAACTGAGCAAGGGGACACTGCGGGGCCAGGCCCCTCATATCTACCTCCAGCCTGCCGGAGCTCACTGCATCAGAAGAGAAATGAGAGATCCCATTGTCCTGCAGAGCCTGCCGCCACTTGAGCAGGAAAGGCAAGCAGGAGGAGAAAAGCTGTGAGACTTTGCGCCAGCTGGCCAGCTAGGCAGGAAGTAGGTCAGGTGGGGCTGGCTGGCTGCTGAGAGGAGATCATGGCTGCTCAGGTTGCTCCCGCCACCAGCAGCTTGGGTGTTCTGGCTGCATCCCAGCTGAAGAAAGCAGGCTCAGCAACAGGATTGCCCTCAAACATAGCTCCACTTCCAAATGCCACATTTGCATGCAGGTGGGGTCCACGGGACAATGGGGTTTCATTCCTCCAGTGGGCTGGACGTGGGTGTGAGGGGCCTGGCCTGCAGTGCCTGTTCATTCAGTTGAAGGCTTCGTTCCTGCCCTAAAACAGTAAGGTCGGTGCACACGAGCGAGCAGTCCATCCAGGCCATGGATGGCGTTGGTTCCTGCCCCCTTCTAATTCCATGGCAATCCTCCTGGCTCTGGCCATGGGATGGGTTGTTGTAGGAACTCCATCTACAGGGGATTTTAGTGGACAGGGACCATCCCTGCCAGAACGGTGGCAGAAAGGAGTTTGCAGGGAGAGCAGAAGATAGGCACTGCAAACGCTTTTCATTCCGAGAATGAAAGTTTCTGAATCCCTGATTCTCTTCAAAAGAGGATGGTTGCCTTAACCCATGTGAAATGGCACCTAGGAGCATACCTTTTCAGCGCCAAAAGCATTTCCAAGCCAACTCCCCCCTCCCTCAAAGGCAAAGAAACAGTGGCAGAGAGGTGACAGATCTTTGCAAAGTAAGTGAGTGTGCTGTGGCAGGAAGCGGGTGGGGGGGATGAGATATCTAGTGAGTCAGGGAAGCCTTGAGGTCCTGTTCAATCAATATCCCCCTCCCTTCAGCCTTTCCCTCCCTGAGATACCACATGTCCACTTAACGAAAGGTGCATTAGATTAGCAAACGTGTGTACATTGGTATTCTTGAATTGTGAGCTCTTAGGAAAGTATCCCCTCCTTGTATGTTGCAAAGAGCCATTTCCAGTGGCAAAACAGGACAAAATAGAGTAAAGGAAAATATTTTCCTTTACTATATTTCCAGCCTGAATTAGACCATGGCAGGGTCACTACAGGAGAGCCCTTTTAAGGATTATGTATTCATAGAAAAGCAACTAACTTACCTCTGTTCCTAAACGCTAAATCTGTTGCACATTAAAAAAAAAACAAAAGAGAAGCTCTGATCAACTATCACAGCCACCGTTTTGACAGTTTTGCTGTATTGTTGTCTGTGGACACCCCCACTAAATGCAAGCATGGGATAAACTGAGCCTGGTTTGTTCTGTTTTTAAGTGGCCATAAACTACTAGCAAAAGTGGCATTTGATCACAAGACGAGAAAGCATCGAGAAATATTTCCCCTTTCGCATTTGAGCATCCAAGAAAGGACAGGAAAGGAGAAAGGGAAAGAGGAAAGAGGAAAGAAAAAGAAGGAAAGAGGGGAAGAGACCAAGGAAGGAAAAAGAAGGAAAGGGGAAGAAAGAAAGGAAAATGTAGAGGGACAGAATAATAAGAAGAGGGAGAGTGGGAGGATCCCCCCCAGTTCTGCCCAGGCTATCACAGGTATCACATAAATAATACAATTCTTTTGCAGAAACATTTTAAAGAAAACTAATACCTGTCCCTTTCATTTCAATAATTGTTTTGCATATCTCAATAAAACTAGCTTCTTGGTTATTTTCTAGTATATTAACAAAAATTTGAAGAACATTTTTGTCCGATTTCATTATTATCTGTCACATTCTTTGTTATGTTTTTTAATTAGAGATTTCTTTTTTTAGTTTTTGGCATAATTCAGTAGATAGATATTTGAGTATGGAGGCTTGGTAACCATGATTCAAACTTCACATTTATTGTTTAGTTTCCACTTTTCAATATTTTTATAACTGACTTGGATGAAGGATAAGGAAAATGTGTTACCAAATTAATAGATGATACATTGCCATCTGGAAATATGTAATAGAATCTTATTAGAATGTTGAAAATAGGAATAAAATCTAAACAATTAGGTTAGAGAAATGGAATGAAATAATGGAATTAGCAAATGAATAGAATATATTCATACAATATATTTGGCAATAGTACTTGTGAAAAAGATTTTAGAATAATAATTAAGTGCAGACAAATCATTTGTATGGTAAAAAGGGCAGATAATATTTTAGACTGCGTCAACATAAATAAAATTTCCAGATTATGGGAAATAATGATCCCACAATTTTAGTTTGATCATTTTGCAAATAATATATTGTATCTAGTTCTGGGCATGATATTTTTAAGAATGATTCAGAAAAATGTAAACAGGTTGAGAAAAAAAGCTGCAAAGATGATTAAGGAGCCAAGGTGGCGCAGTGGTTAAATGCAGCACTGCAGGCTACTTCAGCTGACTGCAGTTCNGCTAATCTTCCTCAGATACCTGAAGAAACTGAGAAAATACTAGAAGGCAAAATAACCATGATGGAGTTAACTGAAGCACTTAAAAAACAAAATAAAGGAAAGGCCCCAGGCCCGGGCGGGTTGCCAGTGAAATTCTACAAGACACTGCAGGAATCGTCTCTTTCACTATTAGAAGTTATGAATGAGGTGATGTCAAAGAGCAGGATGCCTAAATCATGGTCAGAAGCATATATTAGACTTTTGCCAAAAGAGGAGGCTGTTTTATCACAAATTAAGAACTATAGACCTATCTCCTTGTTAAACTCGGACTATAAGTTATTTGCTTCAATATTAGCAGAAAGACTCAAAAAATATCTAAATGGTTTTATCCACCCTGATCAAAATGGGTTTCTACCAAAGAGACAAATTAAAGATAATGTGAGAATAATACTGGATACTTTGGAGTATTATGAGGCCCACCCTGAAAAACAAATGGCTTTGATGTTCTTAGACGCACAGAAAGCATTTGATAACGTGAATTGGCAATTTATGTTTTTGCAACTGGAACAGATGAACTTTGGTAAGAAATTTACACAAGCCATACAAACTATATACTATAAACAAACAGCAAAGATAATGATAAATGGAGAATTGACAGATTCTATTGAAATAAACAAAGGTACGAGACAAGGCCTCTATCACCTCTACTCTTAGTTTTAACACTAGAAGTTTTTTTAAATATATTTTTTTATTTTATTCTTAAACATAAAAGACAACATTAAAAAAAAATTCCCATCCATTATGTACAGCATGTCGTTTGGTTACAAGCGTTTGTGCATCCATATTTTCAATTACATATACAATCACAGATTTTCCATCTAATATAACTAGATACCTAGGGTGACCAGACGTCCTGCATTTGGCGGGACAGGAACGCCTTTTCATAAATTTTCCCGCATCCCGCGCCGTTCTTAAAAAAACACGCTTTTTTTGGCGCTCGCAGCTCCCTCGCTCCCCCGCCCATCAGCTGCTAGCTCGCTGGGCTGGCTCATCGTTCCGTTCTATCCTACAAATTTAAGCCACCCCAGCCTGCCGCTCACTGATGGGATTGGCCTGGACTCCAGCCAATCAGTGAGCTGTCTGGGATGGGAAATTTTCAGCACACCACGTGCTG